TCTGCTCCTCGAAGCCCCAGTATATTCTGGTTTCCCCAAATTGAGAAATGCTCTGGCATTTATTATGAATAACATATTTTATAGTTGATTGTTTAAAGTGTTCTGTTGTTGTCCAATTTTGTGTGTGTGTTGTAAATCTTTTCTATATCAGTAGAATTATCTCTGAAATTGTATACTTTCCATGACAGAATAACAAAACTAAACCAAGAGAACTTGTTTAGCGATTACTAGACATTCATTACTCAGAATCTAAGATACTGCCAGAAAATTTTGCTGTATGCAGTGTATTTCTCTTTAAAAGTATAGACAATTTAACTCTTTAACCTAGGCTCATGTGAAGGCATGAACACTAATAGAGCAAGAATGTGTTTATGTCATTTCAGAATTTGGTGACATTTGGGGATGTGGCCGTAAATTTCTCTCAAGAGGAGTGGGAATGGCTCAACCCTGCTCAGAGGAATTTGTACAGGAAGGTGATGTTGGAGAACTATCGGAGCCTGGTTTCACTGGGTAAGTTCTCCCCATAATTCAGAATCTGCACACAGGACTGCATTCTAGTGTAATGTTTGGGAAGCATCTGATGTGCTTTACTAAATTTCTCTTTCACGTATTTCCCAAAATATGTTGAATTTTGTAGAATTGGCAGCTTCATTACACTATTCCTGCAACTTCATCTTCCCCATTCACCTTTTCCTTAACTCCCTCCTGTAATGTCACCATCTTCCTGATGACCAATGAACTTGATCTGATTTATAGACCTGGCTAATTCCTGTTTTATTTTTTGCAAGCAGGAGTTTCTGTTTCTAAGCCAGATGTGATCTCTTTATTGGAGCAAGGACAAGAACCCTGGATGGTGAAGAAGGAGGGAACAAAAGGCACAAGCCCTGGTGAGTGAGAGAGAACCAGGAAGTTAGAAGCCATTGCCAGGAAAAGCTCAGCTATTCTGAAAGGTTTTAGCTCATAATTGATGTTTCCTGGGTAGCTTTTCTTAAAAGCTCAAGGCCTGGGAAGAAACACTGAGGCATCTTTAGCATGAGCTCCTTGGTTTATTCTCTTTGTGTATATTCTCGAGGTCCAAATGTCATAGCTTCTCCTTGTCCTTGCATCTTAGTTCTGTACAATTTGCTTCATTCTGTTGAAAAAAAAATCCAGACTTTTTTCTAGTTACTAATTTCCTTTTAGATTGAAGGATCTGTGCATTTATTTATTCACATATTCTTTTGCCAAGACACACTGAGTTTCTATTTTGAGAAGTGTATTCTGCTAAATTTTTAGGATTATTCTGAGGTTTATAAACCATCAAAAAGGAAAGCATTTCCAGTTTTATTCTCAAGTCTGGGTAATTGAAAGTTGTGGTAGCATTTAATAGAAACAATCTGAAGAAAGAGGAGGTTGGTAGGAGGAAAGATAATGAATTTGGCTGGGGACATAGGGATTTATTTTTGTGAGATGGGAAGATTTCCAAGCAAAGAAATGCAGCATGCAATTGGATAATGAACTGGAGGCTCAGACAGAAAGTCTGATTTAGAGATGTCAGTGTGAATGAGATCACTGGTCTTAAGAGTTTGAGAGATAAAGGCTGATGCTGAGGCCTTTGTGGGGAAGTAGATCTTTGACAACTTTCTCATTATCATACATTTTCTGTCTTTGGTTACATTTTATACATTTTAATTTTTCTAGATAATTATCCTTTACATTTAGGTTACCAAGATTTATTTCCATGAATTTGAGCAAAGTAATCTCCTATAATTCTTTTTATTTCTTTTGTGTCTATAATGGTTTCCTATTTTTTTATTTTGTATAGCTGTTCTTTTTTAAAAGAATTTATTTATTAGGTTGCTACTCATAAATTAGTTTTATTTATTTTTAAAGACCTAGCTTATGGATTTATGTATAGTGTTACATTCTTTTCCAATTCTCTGTTTTTTGTTTTTCACCTTACTAATTCTTTCATTGTAATTTTCTTGTTTATTTTGTTTTCCATATTGTTGAAATGAGAGCTTAATCTGTTCATTCTCTTTTATTCAGTAATGAAATTATTAAGTGCTATGAATTTTCCTCTGAGTTTATCTTTAACTATCCCCTATAGATCCTGATATTTAGTGTTTTGGTTATATTGCTGTTTCTGAGATAATCCACATTTTTAAAGTTATCTTTTCAGAAGTTTTGTAAAAGAGATCTTCTGGTTTTATTGTATTTTGGTCAGATTGTTTTATTGTATTTGATCAGACAGTATTATTATTAAGAAATTATTTACATACAGTAAACTGCATCCATATAAATTATATATGTTTGATGAGTTCTGATAATTGCATATACCCATGAAACCATCACCACAATGAAGATACATAGGATTTCTAACACCTGAAAAGATTGCTTTATCTCTTTGCAGTCCATCCTTCTCACCATCCTCAGTTCCAAACAAACTCTAATCTGATCTTTGTCATTTTAGATTAGTGTTCATCTACACTAAATGGAATCATACAGTTTGTATTCTGTTATTATTATTCTGTATTCTGTTATTATTTTGAAATTCATCCATATTGCTGCATGTGTAATTAGATTATTCCTTTTATTGCTGAGTACTAGTCCATTGAGTAGTATCCATTCACCTGCTGATGAACATTTGGGGTGTTTCCAGCTTTTGGCTATTATAAATAAAACTGCTATGAAGATGTCACATATAGGACTTTGTGTGGACATATGTTTTTGTTTCTGTTGGGTGAATACCTGAGTGGAAAAACTGAGTCATATGGTAGGTATATATTTAACTTTGTAAGAAACTGCCAGACGGTTTTCCAAAGGGATTATACCGTCTCCTCTAGCAGTATATGAGAATTCCAGTTGCTCCACATCCTCACCAAATCTTGGTATTGTCATTAGAATTTTTATTTTAGTCATTCTAATGGTTATATTGTGGTTTTTTGTTCTTGTCTTTCTTTTTTTTGTAGAGATGGGGTCTTGTTATGTTGCCCAGGCTGGTCTTGAACTCCTGGCCTCAAGCAGTTCTCTCACCGTGGCTTCCCAAAGTGCTGGAATTACAGGCATAAGCCACCATGCCTGGCCTGTATTGTGGTTTTAATACGCATTTCTAGGGTGACTGGTGATGTTGAGTATCTTTTCACAGGCTTATTAGCCATGCGTATACTTTTCATAAAGTGTTTTTTCCAGATCTTTAGCCCATATTTTATTGGGTTGTCTTATTATAGAGTTGTAAGAGTTCTATATATAGTCTTGTTTCGGTTGTTAAGAGATGGAGTCTTGCTGTGTTGACCAGGCTGGAGTGCAGTGGCTATTCACAGGTGTGATGATAGCTCACTGCAGCCTGGAACGCCTGCACTCAAGTGATCCTCCTGCCTCAGCCTGTGGTACTCTGCCTTCAGAGTAGCTGGGACTACAGGTACATGCCACTGTATCCAGCTTGTATATAGTCTTAAAACAAATTGTCATTTATATGGATTGGGATGTTTATATGCCACTTGTGTCTTGTCTTTTTCTACTGCTGTTTTTTTTTGTTTTTTTTTTTTTAAAGAGATGGCGTCTGCTATGTTGCCCAGGCTAGATTTAAACTCCTGGGCTCAAGCAATACTCCTGCCTTAACCTCCCAGTTATCTGGGATCACAGGCTTGTGTGACAGTGCCCAGTTTACTGCTGTCTTTTGTACAGCCAAAGTTTTCAATTTTTGTAAAGTTTAATTTATTAATTTGGTTGGTACTTCTTGTGTCATATTTTAAGAAATTCTTGATACTTCTAGGTCACAAAGATTTTCTTCCAGTTTTATAGTTTTAGCTTTTACATATAGGTCTGTGATCCATTTTGAGCTGTTTTGTTTTTTGTGTGAGGTAAAGGGTGAGGTTCATTTTTTTCCCATGTGGATATACAGTTGCTCTTATACACTTTGTTAGGAAAGACTTTGCCCTCCCAATTGTATTGCCGTGGTACCTTTGCTGAAAATCACTTGACCACATATGCATGGGTCTAGTTCTAGACTCTGTTCTGTTACGTTGATCTATATGTCTGTCCTTTCAGCAGCACCATATTGTCTTGCTTACTGTAGCTTTATATTAAATTTTGATATCAGATAATACAATTTATAAAATTGCTGTTACTGTTTTAGATCATTTGCATTTCATGTAGATTTTAGAATGAAGTTGAGAATTTCTGCTCTTGGCTTTTGGTTGGGATTATGTTGAATCTGTTCATCGATTGGAAGAGAAATGACATCTCGACATCATTGTGTCTTCTAATCCATTATTACAGTCTTAAAATTTCTCTTAGGAATATTTTACTGTATCCAGAGTGGTGGTCTTCTATATATTCAAAATCTTTTTCATTTCCTCAGTCTTTTATACTTTTTTTGGGAGCTGTGATAAATAGAATTTTTTTTAATTTCAGAATTTTATGGGAGTACATACATTTTGGTTACATAATTTGCTTTTTTACAGTTTGAGTAGAAATTGTAAGTGTGCCCTTTAGTTGGTGTGTATTGTACCTGTTAGGTATAAACTTACCCATCCTCTCCTCCCTCCTCCCACCTACTTGATTTCCCTTGAATTTTACTTCCGTATGTGCACTTAAGTGTTAATTGATTAGTTCCAATTTAGTATTGAGTACATGTGGTGTTTGTTTTTCTATTTCTGCAATACTTCACTAGAAGAATGGCCTACCATTCCATCCAGGTTGTTACAAAAGATACTAGATAAAAAAGGTGTTTTTTATGGCAGAGTAGTGCTCCATGATATACATAGACCACATTTTACTAATCCATTCATGTATTTGATGGCACTTTGGTTGAATCCACATCTTTGTGAATTGTGCTGCTATAAACATTCGA